ATTTTACCTGAAATTACATAGAAATGTGTTACGACTTTTCTTAATATCAAAATTATCATATTTTGGCTTGAATAAGGTATATTTTACAAAAACCCTGGTTTGGTTCTGTAATAATGTTTTTTTTTTATAAATTGAGAAAATTCTGTAATATTGTTAACTGTGTTTCCGGAAACTTTCGGGTCACGTGATTGTTTCTAAATTTACTCTCTGTTTACACTTCCGCCCAACATGAAGTCGAACCTGCGAAAAGATGTTTTGTTGTTAAACGATAAATATTCCTTTCAATTCTCATACGATCATTTAAGGATTATGTTGTAAGCATATAACATTTCTATAGCATCATGTATTTTAAATGCTTTTTCATGATTATCATTTTATTTCGAACATCTGAGTTTTGTTATGGTATAGTGCATGTGCACCGAGTGTTTTTGTATATAGTCTATAAGCATACGTACATGCCATCTAGGTGCAAGCATCATCTTATTCTTTTCCTAAAATGAAATATTGTTAATCATCATTTCAAATTATTAAATCCTATCGAAAGTTATTATGACCAAGCAAGTTTCTGTCAAAACATTATTAATAGTCTTCATAAAATTGTGTACCTTCTCATGGCAAAGTGATCTCTTCCATTTACGTTAATTTTCCCCACTTTTGAATGTTTATTTTATTAATATGTATAATGTTTATATTATATATGATATGACATGCACATGTAAGGTCAAAGTTAATTAAAATGTGGTTTATATATGTAAGTTACACCAATCTTAATTGTGCAACGACTCATTATGTATTATGTGATGTGGTCATTATATATATGTTGCGTATGTTGCAAAGACTCATTGTTTATTATCTTTTTGTCTTTATATGTCATCTTTTATCATACATTATATAATTGTCACTTTATGCTGGAACCTCAAGAATAAAACATCGTAGAAAAATATTTCATCTTGGTCATATATTTTCAGAATCTTTCAACTCAGAAGTCGAACAAAAATCCCCCGTTACAATAGTATGTAAACAATTTCTTGCTTGTTATTTCCACCATTGATTGAATATCGAATATTTAAGATGTACATGTATAAAAATATATAATATTTCAACAGAACAATTATGTTAAAGAAATTGTATTTTTTTTTATTACAGCAAAGGCGAGCATTCGTAAACTTGATTCCGTTGAGCAAAAACAGAGAAACAAGTTTTGTTAAACTCTGTGAATTTTAAATCTTTTTTTTTTATCAATTTTGTTTGTCAATAAAAGACGAGAGAAAAATGACACGATTTTTTAAAATTGTCTTTGTTTCTAAATTCAATGCAAAACAACATATATGTTGATAATGCAAAGGTTCTTCAAGTTGTATAGACTGGAATTTATACTATATGACTAGATTTCATGTCTCTGTATAATTAAGTCAATTATTAAGGTTTAAATAAAGTTTGCATACTTTCTTCCAATGGAATATTTATACTGTACATGTATTTTATATTTTGCCTCTTTTCGTCAATTATTTCATTTAATGATATTTTCACTGAAAAAATGTGGTTCTTTTATTTTATAATATATGTGATTTAACAAAAAACGACCTGTGAATTCCCAGTTGTACGCTTGATTTGTACACAGCAAAAATTTTGGGTTATATAAAAAATATGCAAATAAAAATTCAAAACTTACTGCAAAAAGGTGAGCAGATGCGATCGAGACACCAGAAGGTAGAGCTTTGGGTATCAGCTTATCGTTTTTCTTCCTCAATGAAGAGAAATAAGCAAAAACAAACAAAAACGTTCCAAGAAATTCAATTCCAAAGGCTTGTCCACGAGATACATCCGAATTAATAATGTTGATTCCAAATTCATCTCGCGAATAATCCGGTACCAATCCGTATAAAATTGCAGATGATATGATTCCCGCGATAAGTTGCACAAAAATGTAACACGTTGCTCTAAAGAAAGTTATATATTTAGTGCAAAGCAATGATATTGTAATAACTGGGTTAAATTGTGATCCACTGGCATGACTAAGAGCAGAAACCAGAATATATTCAATGAATCCAAAACTAAGACTGATCCGGATAATTTTGTGAGGGTCGTGATTATCTGCGTTCCAAGTAACCGTTGCTGCGCATCCAAACAAAACATACAGCAAAGTTCCAAGAAACTCACAACGAACACTTTTCCAAAAATGTCGTTCTTTAATTTCTTCTTTTACTTTGATCAGATATTCTTTTAGCTTCATTGCTCTTGAGCTTAAAGAATCCAACAGAATGTTTCATTACGGGATTGTAGTAGACTTCTGCACAGCATGGGCATTGACCAATATATTTTGAACATCACTTACTGCGAGACAAGCTTGTTCAATTCGTATCGTTTCTATTCTTATTTCTTTAAAAGGCATCCAAAAACTCCATTCCATACTTGATGGGTGATTTGAATGTTTCTGAAATCCAGCAATTTCGGTATTCAATTATCCCATCAAATTATTCTCCAGCGAACGGCGTCTTAAACGACAGTGACAAACTCCAGATGAATGGATTCTCTCATCCGACAGCAATAAACGGTCATTCGCCGCTCGAGGGATATTTTCTGCCAATGTGACTACATTTCGGGCAATTAGTAAGATGCAAACGAGCCGAAAGAAGAAAGTAATGTGAAACAGATATCTACGGCATTGCTTCGGGCTAAATAAGGGATGAATTATCTGAAAATCCCAGCATGGCTTCTATTCATTAGAAGAAAATGTGAAGGGTGGACACATTGTCGATTCGAATTGTTAATGATTCAAAGAAATTCTTAAAAGATTTTTTTTGATTGGTAATCAACTAATCATATGAATAAATTGAACTTTCTACATTTTTTGTGTAGGCCTTTAAATTAACATGTACATTTGAGAGAAAAAACCCTCACAAAATACAAAAGTGAATGGTAGCTTTAAAATGTGTTACTGATTTTTTTAATCAATTAAAGATTTAAGAACATTTTTATAATCAATTTTTATTTAAAAAGAAATAAGATGGTGGTAATGGTAATTAAAAATAAAGCCACATATTAACAAGATGAAAAATGGACTAATAAACGCTAAAAAATATCTTTTTAGTCCAAAACAAACAACACGTCAAAATATAACCGAAGACTAATGGTACTTTGCGGAACGAAACGGAACGGAACAGAACCAGTTGTGGGGCACCCTAGGGGGGGGGGGGAATAAAAATGAATATATTATATATAATAAAAATGAATATAATACGTTATTTATTACAAATTATTCTGCCATTTTATATCTTAAGAAACACCCAAAAAAGTGTCAAGTGTCTGAAGTCATAAATTTTTCTGTCGTTGAGTTTTTGATCTAGCTGCTGTGTCAACTGAAGTGACTATGTGAATTGTATTGAATGAGAGACGTACACCTATCATTGAAGTAAATATTTATTAATGTTTTTCTTTCAAAGTTTATTGTCAAAAGATTAAATAGGATATCGTTCATCTGCAGTCTAAAGGTAAAGAGAGTTGTCGCGCTTTGCCAGTATGGTCATTCTCTGGTTCCGTTTCGTTTATAAACGCTAAATACCAATATCTGTGTGGGTATTAGTATTAAGCTAAACGGAACGAAACACGACAGTTAAGTTGGAATAAGATGATACACATACAAGCATTTTGGTGTTATTCATTTCATCTCATCTTTTTAATTATTAAAAATTAAATTCAAGGGGTGGGGGGGATATAAGGGACAAGGATGTTTGAGGAGGAAAGTAATTCATCCATCATATATCCAGCACAATAAAGCATACTTTTTTACCTCTCAAACTTCTTCAAAAATCTTGTCTTTATATCAGTTTTACATGTATTATATATATAAATACAATCGCAGGCCTTGATGTAGAGAAGAAAACGTAATTACCATATCTCTATCTTCAACTAAATCGATATGCAAAATAACTGTAACATTATTATGTAAAGTTATATTTTAAAACGCGTAATTTTTAATTTGCTGTATGCTAACAAAATATGTTTACTACTTTAACCTTGATTTATATCTTAAAACATTCAGTTCTGTGCTAATAAGAAAAAAACACACACAACGGGTTCCGTTCCGTTCCGCAAAATACCAATATCCACTACAATATTAGTACTTTGCGAAACGGAACGGAGCTATAATATCAAGGGTTTTAAAACCCTGTTAATGAACGACGTGAGATAAGTTTTGTGCCTTGTAAGGATTTGAATTTAAAAATCATGCTCAGCAAGAAAATTAATTTAACGACAGTCCTAAAAATTCTTGTTTTCTTTACATACAATCAAACAAAAAGTTTTGTTAAGTTTTCATTTTCTGTAAGTAAATTAAACACCATTTATATTTGAAAAGAAGAGGAAAGAACAGTGGCGTATATTCCATATAGGCTAAAAGGCTGTAGCCTTCACATCATTTTCTCAAAAATTACAAAAATATGTATGGCATACATATATATCTCTGAAAGTAAGAGTTGTTAATAAAATTGCTTCAAAATTATAGGTCTTGCCTTTTAATTTTATTTCAGTTTAAGTCAAATAGCAAAAAGGTCGTAGTAATTCTTAGCAAACTGGATTTAAATTTATCCGACGGTTTGATTCCGATAAGTGGGTTAAGTCATACAAGGTGAAATTTCAAAATTTACTATGAAGTCTATAGTAGAATATTTAAAGAGCTTATATCGGCCTTTCAATGCTGAAACCATTGTTTAAAAAGGATGACTCAAAGATCTATAAAATAACAAGTTGGTGTGGCATTCCACCTTAATTATGAACAGGACAACAACAACAACAACAACAAAAAAAACCCAGAATAAAAGCAAAGACAAGATAAAAACAAAAATGCTAACTTTCCTACAGAACAATATTTGTTTTTTTTTTCTGTGGTACTACAAGAATTTATATTCCTATAAAATTTTTAATATATTCGTTTTAAAAATTTTTTTATCGTAAAATCGCATGACTTTGTATCTAATTTTCAAAATTTTCTCGGGGGAGGCCCCCCGAACCCCCACCAACCCGAGGGGGCGACCCCCTCCCGTACCTATAGCTACCCCCATTCGGCGCTTCGCGCCTCAGGTGAATCTCCGATTCACGTTAGCCTACACATGAACAGAAAGGAATATACGCCGCTGAAGAAACAGTATTTCAAAATGATCAAATCTTGTTCCGTTCCGTTCCGCAAATTACCAATTTCCACACGGGTATCGGTACTTTGCGGAACCACATCTTTTCATTTGAAGAGAAAAAACAAGAAACAACCTAAATCTGCCGGAGTATTCAACAGGCAATTTTAAAGCTTTCATAAATCCAGGGTAAATATAAATATTCCAAAATTATGTTTCATTAAAGAAAAATATGACATTCATGTAACAACTTAATTCTTCATATATTTATTTCATTGTGTTTCAATTTTGATGAGATTCGTTTAGTTCCACTGAATACTAATTTCTGTAGTGACTGACTATGTGAATTATATTGAAAGAAAGACGTACACTGTACACATATCATTGATGTAAAAAATTATTAATGCTTTCATTTCAGTTTAATGTCAAAAGATTATTATAAAAAGAATATCGTTCATGTGCAGTCTAAAGAGAGTTGTCGCGCTTTGCCAGTGTGGTTATTCTCTGGTTCCGTTTCGTTCCGCTTAAAACCAATACCCATGTGGATATTGGTATTTAGCGGAACGGAACGGAACAAGGTACTGAATGTGTGCATATAGGCAAAACCCATCAGCCACGCAATTTTAAATATATAAGACCCGATACATGTATGTTCTCAGATATCTTTAACATGAGGGCCCTTTTTTGAATATGCTTCTTAGATATGTTGGATTTTAAGAAATATTGTAAAAAGTGAATTTTATGAAATGCCTTATGAAAAATTAAAATTCAGTACGTTTAATAAATCCTGTATAATTTTATCTTTGTGGTAATCATTAATCATTTTGTTTGTAATTTTCAGGGAAAAAAAATTTACTTATGGTATTTTCATAAAAAAAAAGCTCTGTTCCTGTGTTCAATAATAGCTAACTTCACAATATTTTCAATTTGTTGCTTGGTTGCCATGTACGTTTACATGGTGCATTATTTACAAGCCAATAAAGTTGGCAAAAAAAAATTTTGCTGTCCAATTATTTTCCCTTGGTCCATGAAGCAACAAATTAAAATTTTGTAAAGATCTGAACTGGTTATGAATCACCCCCTACCTGGTTCTTACAAATAGCTGTACTTATAACATTCAGTTCTGCGCTAATAAGAAAGGAAACACACACAACGGGTTCCGTTCCGTTTCGCAAAATACCAATACCCACTACAATATTAGTACTTTGCGAAACGGAACGGAACTATAATATCAAGGGTTTTAAAACCCTGTTAATAAACGGCTTGAAATGTTTTGTATCATCTGAGGATTTTAATTTTAAAATCATGCTCAGCAAGAAAAAATAATTTGACGACAGTCCAAATAATTCTTGTTTTCTTTACATACAATCAAACAAAAAGTTTTGTTATGTTTTCATTTTCTGTAAGTAACTTAAACACCATTTATATTTGAAAAGAAGAGTAAAGAAATAGTACTAGTATTTCAAAATGATCAAATCTTGTTCCGTTCCGTTCCGCAAATTACCAATATCCACACGGGTATCGGTACTTTGCGGAACGAAACGGAACCACATCTTTTCATTTGAAGAGAAAAAAAATAAGAAACAATCTAAATCTGCCGGAGTATTCAACAGTAGATTTTAATCTCATCAAAATTGAAACACAATTAAATAAATATTTGAAGAATTAAGTTGTTACATGAATCAATGTCATATTTTTCTTTAATAAAAATGACTTGTTCTTTCAGGTAAACTAATTTTGGAATATTTATATTTACCCAGGATTTATGAAAGCTTTAAAATTGCCTGTTGAATACCCTTGATATTATAGTTCCGTTCCGTTTCGCAAAGAACTAATATTGTAGTGGATATTGGTATTTTGCGGAACGGAACGGGACCCGTTTGTGTGTGTGTTTCCTTTCTTAATAGCACAGAACTGAATGTTTTAAGATATCAATAAAGTTAAATTAGTAAACATATTTGTTAGCATACAGCAAATTAAAAATTACGCGTTTTAAAATATAACTTCACATAATAATTTTACAATTACTAGTATTATGCATTCGATTTAGTTGAAGATAAAGAGAATTTACGTTTACATCAATGCCTGCGATTGTATTTGTATATATAATACAGTACATGTATAACTGATATAAAGACAAGATTTTTTAAGACGTTTGAGAGGTAAAAGAAGTATGCTTTATTGTGCTGGATATATGATGGATGAATTACTTTCCTCCTCAAACATCCTTGTCCCTTATATTTTATTTTCCACCTTGAATTTAATTTTTAATAATTAAAAGATGAGATGAAATGAATAATAACAAAATGCTTGTATGTGTATCATCTTATTTCAACTTAACTGACGTGTTCCGTTTCGCTAAATACTAATACCC